TAATTGTCTACTGTTGTTCAATTTTATTCAATTCGGTCAATTCTAAGAAAAGTTATTAGCGAAACAAATTCTCGCCAGTACAACCCCACCAAACTGCAGCAACAAGTTCGCTCTTCTTCTTCCTCTTTTTGCTGCTGCTATGGGCGCATATAACTCAGTGACGGAAGTTTACCTGGGTACAGGGTATTACACTGTCGGGCTTGCTCGACTGTAGCGTTCTCTCTTGTCTAATTAGATAATATTACATTTTAAGTTATTGATTGTAATGTTTTTATATTGTTAATTATTTGATCGCTGACATTATTTGTCTTTCTATCTACGCGATGGTCAAAGTCAGAAGTTTATCAAATCGTTTCATACAAGTAGTCTCAACGAGCTGGCTGTCAGTGTTTGATCTTGATGTACACATCAGTACCTCTGTATCTGTGTAGCTGTGCGCTAAGCTGGCAGCATATGGTCAGCCTCCGTTCAGCCTTCGTTCACTACTTCTACTACTTCACTTCATTTCCATTTTCATTTCCACTCCAGTGTCTAATTCAACTACATTCATATATGTACTTACATACTTATAACATATGTATGTATATATTTTGGTATATTGCATTACCTCTTGACCGCAGCACGCGCTTCTGTTGTTGTTGTTGCTGCTGTTGGTCCAGAGCGGTGTCTGTGAACGTGTCTGTAACTGAGAATCAGCTGCCCAAATATTTTGCCCGTTGCCGTCAGCTGCCTGCATCTGCATCTAATGTTGCCCGACTTCCCATGATAAAGGTCAAATATGGGCACGCAAGTCTCGCCACACACACACACACATCATTTCTACCGACACCGCCAACGTAATCATCACCAGCACGATGATCGTGATCATTAATGAGATCATCATTATCACATGCATTGGCAGACGCGCGCTGCTTATTTTTATCTCCGCTATTTTAGTTTTCCGCGCCTGCCTTATACCTCTACGAGTATTTGTTGTTGCCATCCATTTGTCCCACCCTGCAGCATTGCATTTGCATGTGTCAGCAACTGCCAGCCGACTGTCGGCTCTGTGTAGCTAATGGACTATATACACATATCATCGACTTCCTGTCTAAATAATTACACAGTTGCCAACGTCCAGATGGATCGCATAGCCATTGCATTTCCCATAAAAAAGAAAGAAACAAAAAAATATAACTCAGTGAAGAACAATGCTAGGAAACTACTAAATACACACATGGTTCCAACTAAATGCCAGTAACCATATAAAGCCAGAAATATTATATCTTATTTTTGTTAGCTACCAGAAGTCATTTAAATGAGTTCTTTGTATATTTATTCATTTGTTATTTTCAAGTGCGACAAGAAAAATTCTTATAAATTAATGATTTCATTATTTGGCCTATTTTATAAAATTAAGAGTTTAATTTAATGAATTTTGTGCTGAACAAAATTAATTTTTCGCTAAATCGCGTTGTTTTAAATTATTGTTTTGGACGATCTGCAAAAGCTCTAGAAAGAACGCAATGGAATATGAATAAGGAATTCTCCGATAAGCCTTAAGAACATTATAATCATAATTAACCAGTTAACTTGTTTACAGAATAGTATAGTATGAGGTATAACAAAATAAACGCAAGAATTTCCAAGAATTCTTGGAAAGTACTACAAGTATATACTATAACTCTTTTTGGTTTTCTTTATCAATTGCAACTCATGATAAGACTGTCCATTCCTTTTTATATTGCACCGTCTTTATAGGTAGGTGATACTTTATGTAGACATTCTCTACTATTTCATTTAATTCAGTTTTGTATACTCAAGAAATCTATTACTGAGACTATTCACATGTTTGCAGATTCGATTTCTAAACTTTCACACTACGTATGTGTGCGTTATGAAGAATGCATTTAATACTTTTCTGATTCATTTTTTCCTGTCGTTATCAAATATCAAAACAATAAAAAAACAATATCTCCGAGACGACGAGCCATACTACAATAAATATATGAATGTGTATATACATACATACATATGTACGTGGATTTGTATAAAACTTCTGCGAAACACAAAAGTATTTTCTTTGTTCAAAATTTCGTTTACGTTCGGAGATGCACGTAGGTCTCTAAAGAAATAGGTGCGATGACTCATTCGAAATATGCACATGCGAGTACTTGTATTTGTTAGTATATTCATAAATACTTAAACATAAAGAATAGATTTAGTGGTTGCCTTATTTATATACAATTGATGTTATCAAAGGTCAAACAGAAAATGTTATAGAGACTAAAACTCATACTTTAATAGAAATTTACTTAAAATAAACACGATTTGGTTAGCAAAAAAGATGAAGCATTGAGTCTGGGGCCAAAGTGAGATAAGAATATTCCGATGGTTAAGGCATGCCATGATGGGATTAGACGTGTAAATATTATTCCCACATAGTTAGGTTAGTTGAGTTATCTGAGTACAAATTGGCTTGAAATTGAAAATGTATGCCCACAAAAGTCTGTTGGATCAAAAAACTGCAATTTAGTATTGAATGCTTATTTATTTCAATTGAAAAATCATTCTATTCACATCCATGATTTTAGTGTTTGTCTACAAAAATTATTTTGAAGATGGCAAGTCGTAAACAGATCTAAAAGTATTTATATAAAATTACGTTGTTCATAACGACAACGATTTGGTTGAAGTTCTTCGATCGAATATGGGGCTACAAAGTGAAAAAGGCAATGCCGATGAATGATGCTTGCTTGATGTGGAAGTACTGTCTAATTTCTGGAACGTTTTGATCGTCAATCAGTCTCAATCAGAGGCAGAAAAATAAATTTGTCAGTGAAAACCATTAACGGCACACGGCGCAACATTGCTTCATCAACATACTCGTAGATATCTAAATCTCGGCGCCCTAATTATCGACCGTAGTGCATACATAATTGTATCTGCATGTGTATGTGTATGTACTCGTCTGTATATTTATTTGTTGCCCAGCGGGAATTTGCTCGCTGGCTCGGCAGCTACCGCCACGCGTCGCGGACGCTTCATTTTTTTTGGCCAAAATGGTCAAGAGCTCTCAGTGTTTAGGTGTGTGTGTGTGTGTAAGTGAGTGACTGGGCGGCGTAATGACCGAGTGGCCGGCCCTCGAGCTAATTGACTGTTTTCTACAGTTAAGTGGTGTTAATTGAGTTCATTGAGGAAAACGTTTTAAACGTATGCAAACCAATGAAAAAGGAAATTGTAATCAGATACCATTTTGTTGACAATTTGGTTTTTCGTGATTCACATGTTTATTGAGTTTAATATTTCAGTGTACTGACAAGTAATGAAGCATGCATTCGATTTGCGCTGGCATCATAAACGAAACACATACTCGTACCAAGGTATGTGACCTTAAATATCATTTTATGTTCTTGGACAACATTACCCTCAGACGCCTTGTCATTCGAATTTGGAATCTTTATGCGGGTCGCTCTTCCATTAGACACACTCTTGTGCCATTATTGATTGATCTACATATGAGGGCGTAGGTCGTTGGGTTTGCTGGCTGATAGCACTGGTGCTATAAAGTGCCCTTATAGGGTGCACAATTATTGTTTGTTAAACAAACCGCTTATCATCAGGCATAATGAATGCGAATGGCCCGTGAGCAAATATTTGCCAGGTTTATTACGAGTATACTTGTACACCAGCGGTGGGCACGTAGTGGCTCTTTGGGCTCCCAGGGCTCTTTCCGTTATGTTTTGGTAACTGGCGACAGCCAGATACACAAGCAAAGTACCGATCTCGAGCAAACGTACAATAACAAAATACACGCAGTGTTGTCGCCAGCCAGACGCACAAGTAGATCGATGCAATAACAAAATACACACAGTGTGTGTACTGATGATCGATTTGCAATACCCGCTGACGGTCACTTATGCACTGACATTCAAAGTGTATTGACAAATTATAAATTATAGTGTTTCAGTAAAACTATGATTTTCGTCAAGTTATTTACTTATAATCTTACTTATATTTGATTTAAAACTGAACAATGGCTAATGAAATTAATATTTCCGAGATTGAGATATATTAAAAATGTTTATAGGAATAAATTAAGTGACATAAATTTATCAGATTTATTACGAATTGCTTTAAGTGAAGAGGAAATAGACTTCGAAAAATTATTAAATGAATGTTCATAAATGTGATCAAAATTTTTTTCGATGTACTTTTTTTTCTTAATTTTTTGCTCACAGTTTATGATGTTCTCATAACCCAAAAGGTAGTTTTTGTTGTAGATGTTGTTGTAGGACTCCCAAACTATAATTTCGTGCCCACCGCTGTTGTACACCCATCCACCCATAAGCAGGCGACCCCAAAAAGTACATACATACATACATATTTGATAAATTAGCGCTATTTTAGGCTGAAAAAAGAGTAATTTTTTAAACATATTATAGATATAGATACTATATAGATACATTAGCATTAAAATCAAAATTTCAGTTTTTCTTTATAATTAAGATAATAGTTTTAAAATATCTTGTAATAGATTCGAGAATTTGTTGAATGTCGCCCACAAATTCTGCACTGTTTGTATATGCGAATTGATTGTATTGCTCAATATTTCAATTCGATTAGAAATTACATAAAATTAAATGTCAAAAAGTTTGATTTCAACATTTTGGATACTACAGGGTACATACATACATAGGTGCACGTTCGTTCGATTCCTCCGCCAAGGTCAAATATTCAAAAGTGAATTAGATAAGCTAATGTGTGTACCATACCTTGAGTGAGTGCGCGTTCGTGCATTTAGCTTTACTTCAAATAGCGCTAAATTGCGTAAATATTAGTCATGCACTTGACGGGGAAAAAAAAGTAAAAGTTGCACAAACAGTGTGCACACACTCACTTTATTTGCCGCAACGCTGCCAGACAGCCAATTTTGGATAATTGTATACGAAAATGTGGCAACACGTTTCTGAAAAGGTCGTCACAGAAACAGCTGTGCGCAGCGAATTAAACAATTGCTGCAGTTTTATTTGATTACACATTATTTAGGCAACAAAATGAGACGCCGCGTGGGTCTTGGCGCCATACAACAGCAAAAACTTGCTGCAGAGAAGTATAAAGACAAAGGCACCGACCTGCAAGAGTCTCAGCTCGAGCAAATGACCAAGCAAATGGAAGTTTTTCGCGTTAAACTGGAGGAGTTCGCCATGAAGCATAAGGAGGACATACGCAAGAACTCTCAATTTCGCAAACAGTTTCAGGAGATGTGTGCCGCCATTGGTGTTGATCCTCTAGCTACCGGCAAAGGTTTCTGGAGTGTGCTGGGGATGGGAGACTTCTACTACGAGCTGGGCGTGCAGGTGGTCGAGGCGTGCCTGGCTGCAAATCATAAAACTGGCGGACTAATGGAGCTGGACGAGCTGAGGCGTCGTCTGATAGCAGCACGCGGTCAAAGTGCTGTGCATCAGGAAATCACCAATGAGGATATTCTGATGGCTGCCAAGAAGCTAAGCATCTTTGGCAATGGGTAAAATATAGAGAATATAAGAAATTTCTGCTGAATAACTAATCCGAAACATTCACAGTTTCGTAGTGCACAAGCTGGGCAAGGGCAAGTACATTGTGCAATCTATTCCTGGGGAGCTAAGCATGGAGGAGACCAACATACTTACCGCTGCCTCCAACACAGAGCAGGGCTTTGTAACTCAAAAACAGCTAATGAGGGATTTGGGGTAAGTTAGTCGCGCAGATATCTGCAGATCTGATAACGGTGATTATTTGATTTCTTGACGCAACACGCTATTTTTTATTGTTGGACAAAGCATTTGTCACCTGATCCACCAAATCGGTTACAATTTGCAACAGTTCCCTCAGTTCTGACTGGTTGTTGGCACCCGTTCTGTCTGTGATTTGATACTTCTTGACAACGGCATTTGCCTGTTCATAAGAATTGGCAACCGTTAGAGCATGACCTTCCGCTATGCAACACTCCAGCGCAGTTGAGTCCAAAATATAAGCTCCAGTTTGGACACTGAATAAAAATTTACCATCGTAATGAGTATACCTATTTACTAAATAATTAATAACGTCAGAAGTTTGCTTTAATTGCATTTTGATTTAATTGCTTTTAAGAAAACAAATAGTACTTACCCCATTTAAGAACATCATCTAAATCACAATGTGGCCCGTCAAAAGTTTTTATCATTTTGCGATCTTCATGGGCGGATATAAATAGAATGATATATTTTCCGTTTTTTGTTTTCTGACTGGACATTGTGAGATATTTTATTGGACTCGTATTTAAATAATTCCAAATGGGTGGGCCGTGCGAGCTCTAAATAATCGTACTTTGTTGTAAACATGCTCGATATCGATGTATTTTAAAATTACAATTTCGATCATAGACATATCGATAATTTATTTAGATGTGGAGCTTTTTCGATCGTTCTATCTTTGACTCGACAAGCGTTTTTGAATGAACTGTTGTATGGCTCTTCTATGAAACTGTGTTTTTAATTATTTATAAGTAATTAGCTGACTTTTATAATACGCTTTTCACATGCCCCCTCAAAAGAATCGGCAGCCATTCTAAAATACTCTTCCTTACAGTACAGCGAGCAGTTGAATCCACAATATACTTAAGCCCCTAAACATAATAATTAAACAATATTGGCACTGAACTAAACACGTTCCCCTCACTTACAGCTGGACGGAATATCGTTCTAAGCAGTCTCTGGACAAAGTCCTGGGCGAGGGTCTCTGCTGGATTGATATGCAAGCAAATGATGAGCCCAGCTATTGGTTTCCTAGCTTGTTTCCCGGACGGACAGCTCAAAATTCCACCGGTTAGTCTTACAAAGCTCGCACTACTTGTACGATAATTTATTTTTAACCCAATTTATAACACGTATGTATATAACAACTTTAAAAAATATACAATGTTTTCTTAAAAAAAAAAAGAAGGTCATTCTATTATATTCTACTTGGCCTTTGGAGATTTAGCTCGAGTACAATCACCAGCGGCGCCGTTCTTCAGCATTTCATTGTCGGCGAGCAATTCCGCATTGTCTTTCTGCAGGCGATAAATTTCAGACTCAAACTTTTGTGTGAGATCGTTCAGTGCGTCTTTATAACGGGACTTCATTTCCTTGTGAGCGAGCATATAACGTTCCATTTGACTTTCGTAGTGCTTCTTCCTGTATAATATAATAAAATATAAAATTAGTAATGCAAGCAAACCCATCTATTGATTCAAGCATTACATTTTCGCCTGTCGGGCCTCATCGCATCGCGAAATGTTGGCACGCTCCAGATCATTCAACTGCTTGCAGGCTACCTCGACCTCATTAGCCAGCTTGTCATTCTGCTTTAAAGCCTCCTTGTACTTAAACTCTAGACGATTGCTGTGCGACTCCAGCTTCTGCACCACCGACTTATTGTGCGCCATTTCGTTCTTGAACTGCCATTAGATTAAGATCCGTATTTAATAAATATAAAAATATTTAGGATTTTATGAAATTGAATTTCGGCGATAAATAAACGAATCGAATACTTAAAACATTTTATGTGTTGACCGTTTTAAGTGAAGAAGGAATTAAAAAGAAAATGTCGGTAAAGAAACTTTTCGATTTCTCTGACGCGGTAATTCTACGTTCTTAAATGAGCTGTGCCTAATACTTTGATTGTTCCATATAATGTATCAAGCACTGGATAATTCAATTAAATTTCAAAATTTTTAGACTGATTCTTCTGTTAATTATTAATTAATTAATTTTTAAGGTATTTACCCTTTCTCGCAATACGACCAATGCTTTGTTCTTCTCCTCTAACTTGGCTTTGAGTTGCGCCACTTCGCTGTCTACACGTTTGGCTGCTTCATCCATTATGCTGCCAATATTGCTGGCCAGTTGGGTGGACTCCTCCTTGTAGGATTCGGCACGCTTCTCTGCCTCGACTTTTTCGCGCATTGCCGCTTCACTTAGCGAGATCGCATCCTGGACCTTACGCATGGCCTGCGCCTCCCGCTTGTTGCTCTCCTCGAGTAGGGAGCGCGTATAATTCAACGATTTCTCGTATTCCTTGACCTGTTTTTGCAATTTCTGAATTTTAGTCTTATTCTCATCCATGATCACGCCATTGTAGGCTTTCTCCTTGAGCTTGGTCTGCAGCTGTTGAATTTGTTCCCCACTGCGCTGTTTGTGCTCATGCAGAGCCTTGATCAACCTAGATTGCGTGTCCAGCTCCTCCTGCTGGACGCCTAGCTTCCCCTCCAGCACTTTCATCGCATTGGCGTACTTTTGATTAACCTGAACTTGGAGTTTGCTCTACAAACAGGAATGGAGACGCTGTCAGTGGATATTATCTAAAAGGCAGTCAAACTATGTTATACTTGAGAGACATGCTTTCAATTTGGTATACCCTGAACCCGGAACGTAACATGCATACAGGTAACAGGCAGATAGGCAGAAGCTTTTCAAACCCCATGATTAGCATCACGTGGAGAAACGATATAGACTGGCCCGTCCGTCTGTATGAACGTGGAGAACTATTGAAGCACAATAGCTAGAAACACTAAATCTGGTATGTGGAATTCTTATAACCATGGGCTAACCTAATTTATAATAAACTATATAAAACATAATTATAGTAGCTCCCACAGGATCGATCTCTAATAACAAAATCGTTGTTGGTTATAGCAACATCGGAACCAAACTTGGCATTTATAAAAACCTTAATCAAGTCTACGTCTATTTTGAAATTTGACTTTAATGTCTCGCTATATTCTGAATATATTCATCGAAATCAGTGCACTATTACAAGTACATATATAGCTACCGCTGATATGTTAGGGGCAGCTCTTCAATATGTATATTTTTATGAGCTGATATATAAATTAGTCCACTCACCTCTTCGGTAGTGCCCATTGGCATGTGGGCGCGATAATTTCTCAGCTCGGTCTCCATGTGCTCGATGGTGCGTTGGGAACATTCGTGGAGCGTTTGAAAGCAATGCCGCTCCTTGCGAAGCGCATCGATCTGTTGCATGGCTTTGGTCAAGGCATCACTCGTGCATTTCAAGCGGCTGTGCACATCGTCCATGGGTTCAGACCCCATGGATTTCTTGTACTTGCCCAGCTCACTGCTCAGTCGTTTATTCTCTTCAATGACGCCGCTCAGCTGTGACCGCAGAGTTGATTGCTCGGCACGAAAGGTTTTCAAATCCTCGTTCGTTTCGTTGATTAAACGCTCCACGCCCAGGGCCACATCCTGGATGTCATTGCTGGAAGGGTTATTTGGAGTTTTAAGGGACAAATAGAATTGGCCTATTTCAACACATATATGTACATACCTGGCATACCCATAAGTACCGGCCTCCTGTGTCATCGTGCCTATGCTTGTAAAACTAAAAACTTTCAATTTTTCTATTTTTTTTGTACCTAATCAAAACATATCGAATTATTCTATTGTTTCTGTGCAGTTGTTTCTATGGAGCATTTTTAAGTCTAAGTGTCAAAACAATCCGTCTGTCCACTCACAGCCTTGACAGCTGACATAATGGCCAACTATGTTTAATTTGGGAATACTTTGAAACGCCGGCAACGCGGTCAGTGCAAAGCCTACTACCCCCTGATATTGTTGGGCCCAACCGAGCTGTCATGGCAACCAGCAACAAAACAAGAAATTATAGAGAAATTAAATTAGTTTCGACACTATCTAGCTATGCCGCTTTTTAATAAAAAATTCGAGGCTAAGCCCATACCGGCGCGTCTCAATCGCTGCAATATCGGACATGCTGTGGTCACCGAGGATCTCGACGACTTCCGACAGATTTCCCTGAATCTGGGCAACAAGGAGTTGCGCTTTGCGGACGGCATTTGGATGCATTCGGCACGCAAGAACGATGTGGACGATATGCTGCGTCTCAATAAGAAATTTCGAGCCCTAGAAGAGGAGAATAATATGTGTAATTTGAAAATTGAGGTTATGCTGGATTTGCTAGCGGAACATGCAACCGAGCTGAACCAACTGAAGCCAGTGAAGGAGAAGTGAGTTGGTCTCGACCTCTGGCGCCATGCTAGATATTATATTAATTCTTACAGGTCTGATATAAGTCAAGGTTTTACCATAAAGATGCCTGTTATGTAGCATTAAGAAGACTAGCATAATCTACACGATATGTAATTAAAAAGATGTCTATACTTGTATAGTTATGTGGCCAGAGCAGACCAATTACTTTTTAAACCCAATAAATGTTGAAATGAAAGGATAATGAAACACTTAATATAATGGAAAAGATTCGAAGCTGTTGAACTACAAAGTATAGAGGAGTAACCACATATTTAAGAGAGATTTCTCTTATACGCGAGTATATAGTATAAATATGATTTGTAATGGTTGCGTTTCATAAATTCTTTCAATTCACAGAATTTCGAAATCCTCATAGCCAGGCAAATTAAAAGGCCTTATAGAACCTCTGATGTTACCCCCCTGGAAATGTTCATTTTACAGCATATCTCAATTTCGATTATTTAGGAAGAAATAGACTTAGTGGTACATACATATGTATGTAGGATCGCTTTTACAATTTCTTCTTTTGAATCCATCAGATAATACTATTTCTCAGGTTAGGGTGTAGATATAAATTGTTGTATTGAAGCGATTAATATTAATATTGTAAGCACATCTTAAAATCGATTTGCCGAGCGGAATATAGGAAAAATCGCCATAGCCAATGAGCATATTGGGAATCAAACAACGAATATAAATAACAATAGGGACTGCTTCGCAACTCCTAATTTGAATAAAGCACTATTTCGGAATATCTAAAAAGCCACCTAATCACTATAAGTATATTCTACGCGACTTATCAATTGTTCTATATATGCGTATTATTATTCCCACAACCCCACGACTCCAAGCAGCTAGCTAGGTATCCAAGCAATTGCACTACTCTGTCGGCTTTGTTGACTAGCCCATTGGCATTAATTTGGATTTGTAGCGATCGTGAATGGAGCCGGCTGGTCAGCTGCAGATTGTTGCCCTCCATTGTCGCCATTGGCAGCAATCTACGAGTATAGACATAGACATAGACGCCATCGTCATCATTTTGTCGGCTTGTCGTCGGGCTGCCGCTTGGCTCCCGCTATTTTATTGTATTGATAATGAAAAGCTGATAAAGCCAGCTATAGCTCGACTCACCGATATGATAAACGCGACCAAAATAGAAAATAAAATAATAACAATAAAGCCCGGGGGAGTAAACAGACTGACATTGCATATAAATGGGGAAATTTACATGGGACCCATGGGTCCATTTGACTGCAGTGGGGAGCTACAAAAACTGGGGAGTGGGCCTTGCGCCTGTCGACGATAAAGCTCAAATATAGCCTAATCTAGCAATGCGGCAGTTTCTGATAATTCTATGTACATATACGACATGTATGCATGTATGCGTGTATATGTATGCATGTGTGCTATGTACATAGGTGTAGCATATCGGTGCACATCGACTACTGTATATTTACGCATTGATATTGATAAGCAAAACTGCTTATAAAACACATTTATTTAGTTGTTCCAAATGCGAACCGAACAGTTGAACGCCAGCCAGAAAGGGGGAACACTTGTTCGATTCGTGTATTACAGTAGTTTGTTGATAGCCAGCCGATCGCACGGACACGGATACGGATACGTACGCGAGCGCGAGCGACCGCTCCGCCAACGTTTACTCGTATTTTTATTTTATTCAGCCTCGTACGCTCTTTTTTTTATCGGTAGCCGTATCGATGTTCAACTAATATTTGCCAACAACAAAAACAACATTCATTAACTATACTGGCTGAGTTCCATAAAAAAATAGAATGCGATCAAATCGGAAAGCTCCAAATACGTTTTAAGCCCCCACAGGCGATAAAATCGCGACTTCTTCGAGCAATAGAATTTTGAAAGTATTAGAAGGGCCCAATGGTCAGCAGGTAAGGTGCAATAATCAGGGGAAATGGAATTAGATAACTAAAAAAGAAACAACTGTTGTATACTGTATTATATCAGCACTTCTCATTCCTGATTAAAAGTAAACCCCTATTGAACGTGAGTCTTAAAATGTTTCCCAATTGTAAACAAAGTGTCGATTAAACATTGAATTTGCTACCCAATAAATGAGAGTGAATAAATCAATTCAGTTCACGCCAATCAAATGGAGCAGCACATGCTTGTAAATCTTCTTCAAAATCGATGCGGATGTGTGGAAAATAAGATTGACAGACGCTTGTTCACTTAGTCAATTTTTTCGAAATGAATTTACAATTTCAAGAAAATAAACGGACAAAGTGTCCCTGTCAAGCAGCGCAGATTAACAACCATAACGTTTTATCCCCTTTCCGAATTTGATCAAATCATGCGAAAACAAATTCTGAATACCAAAACACACTAGCCTGTACCCAAAGGGTGAAAGGCTATACTACCGAGTCTACCGAGTCGATTTAGCCATGTCCGTCTGTCCGTCCGTCCGTCCGTCTGTATGAGCGCAAGGATCTCAGAAGGTACAAGAGCTAGAATTACCAAACTTGGTATCGAGGTTCCCCTAAGCCCTAGCTGCCTAGTCACGTTTATTTTTTATTCTGATACCCCCCACTCCCCGCAATTCGTGTTTTCTTTTATAACTTCCGTAATTCTTGGAATTTTAAAATCAGTTTTAGTAGTTACGTCCAGTTAGTGCTTATGTGTCCGTATGCCAAGATTCATCATGATAGGTCAATTCTGAAGAAAGTTATAGCCATAAATAAAATCGCTGCTCATGCTCTGCTTGCAGCACTGCCGGCAGCGCTGCCTGCAGCTAACACGCATATAAACACGCATAGGTACATGATGTAAATATATGCTGTTAAAACTGAACATAAGCATGTATTCTAATTTAATTTAATTCATTCATTTATTTATTCATGTTTTTTATTAATTTAATTTAAAAAAAAATTTTTTTTTATTTTTTTTTTGTGGAGAGTACAGGCTATTTTACTGTCGGGCTTGCTCGACTGTAGCGTTCTATCTTGTTTTGATTTCTATAATTATTCTAAACATATGTACAGAGTATTTCAAAGTCGGGATACCCGACTTTAGCTGTTTTACTTTTTTTTTTCTTTGAGTTTTGAATAGAAATATTCAATTTAAAAAGTTAAGCCTTCGGGAAACCAAATACTTTTGTCATTTTTGGGATATGGGATCAATTACAATTCCGCACACTTTGATCTCATTTGGAAATGGAAACAGGAAAAGTGGTCAATTCACTTGAAATAGCTTAGGTCTTCAAAAAATTAATCCTGCACCAATTGTTTTGCTAATTTTAGTAACATAATGCTCATATGTGATGTAAAATCACTTTACGAATAAAAAAATTATAAATCCCTACTAATTTTTCCCGCTACAACTACGTTTAGTTAAAATAAATAAAAAATAGTCCATTAAAAATTTGAGCATGCTTTTATAAAAGCCTTAGTTTGTAGGCAGTTTTCATGAGAGGTTTTCCAATTAATAACGGAATTGGTATATATATAAAATAGTATGTCTGTAGATACATCGTCAAGTATACATATATGTCTCGTCAAGTCTCTTGGCAATTTTAATCAAAAAGCCTCAGCACTTCATCATACTAAATTTTTCTGGTAGCCGGCACTTTGATAAATGAATATTATCGCTCAATGATTTATTGTTGAATAAATGAGCTCTACTATTTATGTATTAATAAATGAAAATACACATAAAACTGAGATAATTCTGAATATGTAAGTACGTACATATGTATGTGTATTTATTGCACGAGTACATATACATACATACATACATACATATGAATGTAGGTGTGTTAGGATGCGGCCCCAATTTCAAGTGGTCAAGTAAATAAACAAATTTTTACACTCAGCGCCATTGGCGCACAACAAATAAAATGTGTGAAAAATGTGGACTGCGAATTGCAGGCGCAGCAGCTAAATAAATATATAGAGCTTACCAAGTGCCGAGACAAACAAAAACAATATCTTTTGCTATAAAATTAAATAAAATCGATCAATTTGAGAATTGCCGACGCGGTCTTCTACAGCAGAGCAATTACAAATACTCGTATATAAATTGTGGAGTACTGTGTGTGGGTTTTGAAGGCGGTGCACAAACAGTTTTACATAAATATTTACAGGGTGTGTCGCTAAGTCGCTGACGTTATTGAAATACAATACACAATTTATCGAACCCGACAGATAGCATAAAATTCAACGATTGCAAGTATCCCTCCCACTCTCATTCATGCTGACAACTCGTCTCTTCATCCCTCCCACTCTCATTCATGCTGACAACTCGTCTCTTCATCTCTCCCGCTATTACAGCTAGCATCACAAGCCGCAGCCATAAACAGTTTAAGATTTGAAGGGGTCGGAGCCGGAGCCGCAGCCTCAGTCTCTTACTTGTCAAGCAGACAAAGAGAATAAGGAATAAATAATTTGAAGTCTTAAGTCTTTGAATAGCGCAATAAATGCAAATAAAAGCCATTCGCTGTTTTCAAGGCCGTTTAGTATAATAATGCTAATAAAATGCACAAAATGCGATTTTTGCTGCGGCTAACCGCCTTTTGGTGTTTTCTAAGCAATCTGACGCTGGCGCTCGGATATTTCGTGGACTACACAGGTGAGTGAGCGAGTGAGTGGTGTGAGTACCAAAGTCTAATGATAATGTTTGGCAATTTGCTTAAATACACACGCCATTGTCTGTATTCTTGTTTATCAGCTGCCCTTTTTACTTTTTTTGTTCGGTGATAAGAGACAAACAAACTCACACACACACGCACACACACACACATTTCGCACCCGTCAAAATATGGGAATATGTAAACAACATTTTTGCAATTAATTACTTTTTGCAGAGAATACGGAGCTGATTCAACAACGCGCCGGCCTCGATGTGAAGCTACAATGCGATCTCAAGGGGCTAGTGGATGAGCGCAAGTTGGACGAAATTAAAATCCACTGGTACTTTAAGGTGTGTAAACCATTTGAGTCTCCAAAACTATTTACCTATTGTATTCCATAATTTTTTTTAGCAATGCAGTGACAATTGTCATCAGTTCGACTCGCCGGAGGATTGGACGGCGCTGCCCTGTGAGCAGAGCTTGTGCCGATCGGAGCTCTGGCTGCGCAATATTACCGATCGCTACTCCGGGCTCTACAAGTGCACCATCAATCCTCATGTTTGGGATCCTACACAGACAGCGGACATACAACTGGTGCGCACCTATCAGCTGGACGTAAAAAGTGAGTGTCGAGTGCCAGAAAATGTTTTTTTTCTCGTTTCTTAATCCCCGTTCATCTTTTTGGAAGAACAAGAACATTTCAAGAGGAGACAGGTAGAGAATTGTACTTTAGTACATGAATGGGCAGTCCATGTAGTGGCGAATGAGCTTTGTCGATATGCCGAATGGTATTGAAACACATTTTCAGAATTTGTATTTACAGTTCAAAAGCTAAAAGCAGTTATGTGAATAGATTGTGGTTCTGTGCTTTATACCACTCAACTCGTACATTGAACCAAATCCCAAAATAACGAATTGTTTGTTTTTGGGACTGCTACCGGTTTTTAATTGTTTAATTATTATTAATTATTTAATTATAGTCCCACAAGCTAAAATGATAATAGATCACTATCACGTACAGCGTCGGTATATGTCGTATATGTATAGCCCCTTGGAAAGATCTAGACAGTCTCTTTAACTCACTGTGAAAACTTTAAATTATATTAAAGCCGTGGTATTAGGATAAGTGACATCATTCATTTCGCTTAGAAGTTATAAACAATTCGAATTTTTATTGACAGCATACATGACACCGTCCTTCTTCTTCCATTTACAGACACTTCTCTGGCCGCTCCCGAATTTCTCGATGCTTATCCCTTAAATCACACAGCCGCTGTTGAGAGTCAAGTGGTGTTTCAGTGTCGCGTGCACAGCGCGGAGCATCCCACGATCAAATGGTTTCACAGACTAAATTATGCTGGGTCTGCTACGGGCGAGACATTACCGCCTTCCATTGGAAACGGAAATGGGAACTTTAGCACACGTATTGTACGGTACAATGGAAGAACTTATGAGCTCCTGGCCACAGCTCCAGAGAAGCTCATTGGGACACAGATTTATCTGAGTAAGTTCATAATAAATGGAGTACGGCTGCGGGATGAGGGCTTCTACGCATGCGTGGCCATTACTTATCATGGACATAAGATACGCGAAGCTTACTTGGAGGTATTGCCGAATGCTCCAGAAACGGAATACTGGAGCGATTACAATACGAGTGATGAGGGTGACCCTAGTAGCGATCCCCGAGAATTTTGGCTGCTCTTTTTAATGCCACTGGGCCTGGCACTACTCCCACTGAGTGTCTGGTGCGGCTATCTGCTATATAGACGCTTTCGTACACCCCATGAATGCGAGCGCATGCATCAGCAGTATTCCGATGAGGAAATGGACACGGAACGTTGTGTGCTGGGCGGCAATTGATTAATTGAATGTGCTCGGCATATGCATCTACGCTTATTAGTTTTAGGACTGAAGACTGTACCAAATTTAGTTGATAGATTCTTTATAGCTCTAACAGGATATGTAGCATAATTGAAGTAAAATAAAAAATAACGACTATGGATACTAAGTACCCAATCAATATAAATCTACTGCTATAATAGCCTGATAGACTATATACAAGAAAGTCATATTTTCCATTTGTACTCGGCCAGATTGAGCTAACTGATATATTTACTTTTAGATCATCCGATATTCGATATTTGCTGTATTTTATTGGTTTCATTAAGTTTTATTTTATTATATAAAAAACTCACAGCTGTTGTAGTCTGACAATTTGATAGAAAACCATTCTGTAGGACTACATCATTTTTATAGTCTTATATTTATCAAAATAATCATCGTTCAATGCCTATATTTGTCAATCTGTGCATACTAAAGTATCGGGCTTGTGTTGCTGCTAGAGATGGGCACGGGCCGGCTATTTTCGGCCCGACACGACACGGCCACGAATTTAACTTTTAGAAACACGCATGCGCACGCACGACGAAAATTTTTCTTAACACGGCCCAACACGAACTTTTTATATATTAATTATAAAAATTAAAAAAAAAAATATATATATATATATATATATATATATATATATATATGTATATATATATATATATATATATATATATATATATATATATATATATATATATATATATATATATATATATATATATAAATATATATATAAACATTACAAATTTTTATTCAGAAAGATTATCTTATCAATATTTGAGCTAAGAAGCCGAGTACTTCGCTCATTTAAAATATGTCCAGAAGTGGAAAAAACTCGTTCGCTTGTTGCAGAGCTGACAGGGATATTGAGTATATGCCTTGATAATTGCCGTAGCATTTTAAATTTTGTTGCTTTTTTCCAGAATGTTAGCACACAAATTCCTGGATCAACAACACTACTTATATAGTCATCTATTTCAATATCCATTCTTGACCTGTCCAATTTAATTTTTTTTTTTTTTTTAAATTATTAGTGTCCAAAAATTCAGAAAAGTCGTGTTGACTATTGGGTGCTTCGTTTTCTGATTCAAGTGTTAAATCGTTATTTAAGCTATCATCGATTTTAGTGTTCTTTCGTGTTTCCTCGTGCGTGTTTTGTCGTGCCTTTTTGGCTCAACACGAACACGCACGGCCACGCACGAAATCGGAATTTACAACACGAACACGCGGGCCCACGCGTGGCACGAAGTGCCACGACAAAAAACACGGCCCGTGCCCAACTCTAGTTGCTGCGTCAATGAATTGTAGTGCTTTGTCCGAATACCTTCTTCGCTTTTTATGGCTTCGATTGGATCCTTAGGAGGAGCTTTTTCGCGAAGATCTTGCAAACGTGATTCGCTTTCATCGGCATTTTCAGCTGCTCTTTTATCACTCATCTTTTTTGATTTTGTGTTTTTTTTTCCCCCAAAAGATGATTTTTTGGTGGCATCTTTTTGTATTCGTTTTATTTACGAATGAAACACTGACAAACAGAGTAAAAAGTGACTTTTAAGCAAATGAAAATGAGCAGAAATAAGCCAGAAAACCATGGTTGGTCGCGTTGACGAATCGGAATGAAACTTCATAGGTGCACCCATTGGGTTATTTTGAATATTGCCACAAAATCTGATCAGTCAGCTGAGCGATTTCGGAGTCTATATGGAATATACATATGTACATACATATATACAAGTACATACATCCATACTTCGATTTTTATATTTATAAGTAGATGTGTATACATATTTTATAGACATTACTAATGTTATGATCTGAAAAAAATTAAAACGAGCACACACATTGTTTGACGACGAAGAATAAATTATTAAATTCGTAAGCCGATTTTTGCAGCAACTCTATTATAATAGATAATTCGAAAGGGAAAAACGATATCAGAGCTGCCTCAGAATTTAAATGTATAAGTTTTGTAGCCAATCAAGGAAGCAGTTCATTTCATTTCATTTCAAATCGTAGAATGTCAGTGGGGCAGACTGAAAAGCACAGTTCAAAATTCTCTTCGTATCAAATTCCAAATTTGTCTCGTCTTTTGGTCCCGGCAGCGTCTTTTACATAGCCAAGTACAAGCGAAGCAGCGTCAACGACCATTGCAGATACAGATACAAGAACAACAAACAACGCCAACGTCAACTTCAGTCAACGTGTGAAACGTCCTTTGATGATCTTCGAAATATCCTTGCAGTTTTATTTGATGCGCCAGTACGAGGTTCGTATGTACTATTTGCATCTGAGCGTTCACGTTGTGAATCAGGTCGCACCTATAGAAGGCGACGAGGGTTACTAGAAGGGTGAGCAATACCAATAGCAATAGGAATATTAGCAACAACAACAACAAAGGCAACATATTGTGAGCGCGCCGTTTTCCAAGGGGCGGGGCAAAGACACAAGGGGGCAACTTACCGTTACAATTATCAATAGAAGCCATATAGGAACAGAGATTGAGCAGAATGACCAGTTCTGGGTACACCACCATCACCAACATCGTGGAATACGATGAGTATCTGTTGCCGGGCACCTACCTATATCCCATGGTGCCGACTGCGCACATGGAGTCGTCCTCGTTAGGCTGTTTTCTGCAGGAGGGCGCCCTGATGCCCTGGTTTCAGCCGATCAACAGCTCAGCCACCTATGTGGTCAGCCCAATGGGTGTGGTAAACTATTTGAGCGATTTGGAATCGCACATGAGCATTCCGAGAGGCGATAATCTGAGCTCCGGTCTAATTCTTGGATTGCTGCAGAACGCTGAATCGGCCGCACAGATGTCTCAGTTACCCGGCATGTATGAGGTGACCGAAGTGGAACTGGTGGAGGGCAATCAGAAGGAACACTACTCAGCTAAGCAGGGTGTGTGGGGCGAGCAGGCATCAAAGTACGACGATGAAGGAAGTACTGACCAGAAGGAGGACGAGGCGTATGCCTCGGGCGACGAGAACGAGCAGCCGACCGGCGCTAACAGAAATGTCTACCGAGCCGCGGGGGGCTATTTGGTGGAAGAACCAGGCTCCGAAGAAGATGAAATTGGTAAAGGCCAGGAGCAGCAGTCCAAGGCTTAGGCAAGTGAGGCCGCTGCTGTTCCCTGTTCTACGCTCTTATTAAAATTTATCCAAGTTTACTTTATTTTCCCAATTGTTTACGTTACGACTCGAGATACATACATACATACATTGTGAAACGAACGAGATATATATACATATATATATTTATACACACAGTATATTGCCCCAATTTGGCTATATGCTTAAGTATTTATATATATATTGTTATGTAAGCAATTGCAAATTGCTAGTTCAACTTATTGTTGCAAGTCAGAGCCTATGCATGAATAAATCTATCGATATATTTTATAACGTTACAAAAACCACCGATTTTTAAACAAATTGTATTGGATGGGATATGGGGAAAATTTATTCCTATAATAAAATCATTTCTCTTAATGCCAAGAAGTAATTGTGTTAGAACGTAAGTTTGTGATTGTAAGTGATATACCAGTATTATATTTGTTGGTCCAATATTCCGTAAAATTCTGTATACAGTACAAAATTTATTAAACTTCTTAATTATGAACTCAGGCTGAACCATTAAAGAGTGCTTCGATGGGGACCTTGTGTTGCAGCCATTGTCAAGAAGTAAAGCTTTCCATGTCAACTTTGTTTTGTAACTTAAAAAACCTATTGCATCATTAAATATATATGTATATGTGGAACTATATCCCTAATAATTAAAATAAACAAAATTAATCAATGAAATTTTGCATTTCTGAAATAACTTCAAGAGGTAAACAAGAGAGAACGCTACAGTCGAGCAAGCCCGCAGTGAAATACCCTGTACAAAGTTGATAACTGTGCATAGATTGCGTGTGGACAGTTTAGTTTATGTAGCTTTCGAAATGTGGAAAGTATTGACGAAATTCTGTAGCGTGGGAAGGGGGGGGGGAATTCCAAAAAATAAAATAAACTCGTTTTTTCTCGGACCCAGGAGAATCTGGATACCAACTTTGGTTATTCTAGCTTTTATAGTTTCAGAGATCCTTCCGTTCATCCATACAGACGGACGGACATGTCTAGACCAATTTCTCTCGTCATTCTGATCAAGAATATATATAGTTTATGGGGTCGGAGATCTTTCCTTCTACCTGTTACATACTTTGCACAAAACTAATATACCCTTTTACCGTACGGGTACAGGGTACAAAAACGACGCTACTGCTTCATTATTAATTTAATTTGCATTATATAACAAATAAACAAAAAATAAATAAATTATTTCGACAGATTTATTGGCTTTCCGAGGCTTCTCAGCTGGGGTACGATCGATATTAAATAATTGTGTACCTCATTCGCTACTGGGTCCATGGCAGCTAATTTAATTATTACATGTTTGCTTGCACTACCACGCTGTTCGTTTAGGCGCGCTCTCTCTCTCTCTCTAGTTCTTGCTCTCGCCAGCTCATATTGTTGGGATTGGAGCAACAAAGCTTATCTCTCAGTTAGTACTGAGCATTTGCTGTTGTTGGTTGTGGACGTTGGCGTCTACGACGTGCGCCGTGGGCTAGAAAAGAAATTAACACAAAATAAACAAAAACTATTTTTAGGCTGTGAAATCGAAAATTGCAGTGCATAATTTTAAGACTGCATCACTAAAACACGATTTCATAATTAGGACAACAATGCCGCCAGTCGACTGCAAATCACGTCGCGGCACCAAAATATCGGTCATCCTATTGGGCAGCGCCCTCTGCTTTGTTATGATGGCATATTTTGTGTTTGGGGACAGCAACGATGAGCAGGGCTTGCGGAATCTACGCATGATATCCATTGTAGGTGGCGATGGCGCGTACGAAAGCAACAACATATACTACAAGTATATAGCTACATTTTCAATGGTTTATTTTTTCAGCTGTTTCGCCATGGAGCCAGGAATCCGACCGAGTTCTATCCGAATGATCCCCATGTGGCGCACGATTGGCAGGCTGGTCCAGGCGCACTCACGCAGGCTAGTGAAATTCATTTCTAATTAATGTAACTTTTAAGCAACGTTTTTTGACCTTACAGAAGGGTTCACTGCAGGCCTACAATCTGGGAAAGAATATGCGCATGCGCTACTATCGGCTACTGCCCTCCAATAGCATCTACACACAACAGCAGATTCATGTGCTCAGCTCGGCCGCGGAGCGGTGTGTGGTACGTGAAGATTGCGATAAAGCTACGCTGTCTAATCTGTCGGCTGTTATCTTTAGATGAGCGCACAGAGCGTGTTGGCCGGCTTCATGCCACCGCTAGAGAACAATAATGTATTGCCCATACCTTGGCAGCCGGTAGCGATAAATACGTTGGCCCGCAGCGACGACATTGTAGGTATCAACTATTTAAAGCTGACAATGCATTAAATGCGATATTGTTATATGGTTATAGCTGCTGGCCCAGAAGAAGCCTTGTCTGAAGTATGACACCATATTGCAAAAGCTGTACAAGAATCCGCCCAAAGATCTGCAGAGATTGAACGAGGAAAACAAGGAGTTGTACAAGTTGCTCACCAAAAACACCGGAAAGGTGAGCCCCAAAGTCAATACTATAATCCTTATGTATAATCTCAAGCTTTCATAGAACATTTCAACAGTGCTCGATGTTGAGATGCTCTACAACACACTGAAGACCGAAGAGGAGGCCAATCTAGTGCTTCCAGATTGGACAGAAAATATCTATCCAGAGTCAATGAAACCGCTAGCAGAGCGCAGCTACACACTTTTCACCGAAACGAATCTCATGAAGCGGATCAAAGGTGGTGCGTTTCTCACCGACATAGTCAAGAAAATGCAGAACAAGCGTCGAAAGAATTTAAATCCAGATCGCAAGATATTTTTATACGCTGGCCATGACGTGACAATGGTCAATATTATGAACTCACTAAACATATTGGATCAGACGGCAAACTTGCCAGATTATGCCGCTGCTCTAGCCTTTGAACTGCATCACAGCAAATCCTTCAGCGATGATGATTTCGAGGTTAAACTCGTGTACTACTACAACAGCGAGGACAAGTTTCCCAAAGAGTTGACCATACCCAATTGCGATGCACCATGCTCCCTAACGCAATTCGCCAACTCGCTGAATGCTTTGCTGCTGGACAACTACGATGAGACGTGTGAGAATCCGACGCCAGATTGCAAGGCATAGGGCGCTCTTTGTTTCTGACTTTGAAATATTCGAAAATGTTGGTGTTATTGTTGGAACTGTGCTAGTAGAAGTTATTAAATACATACATCATACGACACGTTTTCCGCTTTAAATATTCAAAATTAAAAACTAGCACCCTTATCTTCGGCGTAAATAAAGTAGATTGGCACCTTTACGGCATCGCTGACATGAACGATCTCCGTGTGGCTGAGTAAACGAATGGCTGCTAGCCCATAAAAGAGCATAGGTAAGCCTACAAAGAGATCGCTATTGTAGAGTGCTGGCTGATCATAAAACTGCTCCTAACACACCCAGATTGATCACCTTCAGAAATCGAAAGAACTTGTCGTCGAGCGAGAGATCAGCCACAGCTGATATGGTAGTTGGTGCCACTCTCTAAGGTCCAATTGAAGTGTGACATGCCGTTCTGATCATTCTTCACGTCTTTGAACTAAATTGGAAGTGCAAAAATTAAATTAACTTATAAAAAATGGCTGCATATCGGAGCGTAGTACCTTTACAAAATATGATGTCGAGGGTGGCTCCTGGCATTGCTTTAGGTAGGCAGTCAGGACCTCAGAGGCGCGTGGCTTTAGTAGAACGCGGGTAAGTTGCATTTTAAATAATTATTTTAATCCAATTGCATCATAGCGCGCAGCAGTGCTCCAGTTTGCTTTACCAGCCAGTGTTGCCCCAAAACATATGTTGTATGGTTAGTAGTATAACTCAACTGTTGCGCCAAGCGCCGATTGCTAAAGCGATTGTTTAGGATAAATCGATACCTATGTAACTGTCCCAATTTTCAGTGCTGTGAAATATTTGACAAAACGAAGTAGTCGGCTGAGGGAAACGAAAAAAGTGGAATTTCTGTTTTTGACAAATAATTTGCACATTTAACTATAAATCATGTCGATGTCACTCATCTTGCGTGGTGCTACAAGATGCAATGGTGCGTATATTGCTATCCAACCGAAATTTGAACTTAATGGCAAAGAACAGCGTTTATTATATAACATTAACATCTGATTTATCCATTAGCTGTAAACTTGGCCAAATCGGCGCGCCTCACGCCCGTGAAGGCTTACTCCACAATTTTTGCCGGTGCGCAACGTCAAGCTTTGGCAAAGCCTCTACCTCTAGTCAAAAATATTGCGGTATATATAGCTAATATAAATGTGGTATTTGGTAATGATTTTAATTTAGATTGATGGTTTTCCAGCCCATTGTTACGCGCAACATTTCGGTGAGCGCGCCAAGGATGGCCTCGGCTGAGTCCAGTCACACTGCCCTGTGGACAGTGGAGCGTATTGTGTCCGCAGCGCTCCTGGGCGTTATACCCGCTGCATTCATTGCCCCCTCTCAGGCTCTAGATGCTCTTTTGGCTGTTTCAGTAGTCATCCATGCTCACTGGTAAATTTGCGTGCCACATATTGCTGTAGTATTTATCACTGGTTTCCTTGCAGGGGAGTTGAAGCTATGGTAGTCGACTACCTGCGTCCATCTGTTGTTGGCAACATCCTCCCAAAGGTCGCACACGTCGGATTGATTTTGATATCCATTGCCACACTTGGAGGTCTATTCTACTTCATTAAGAACGACGTGGGTCTGGCCAATGGCATTAAACGGTTCTGGGCAATCAAGGGCAAGGACAGTCAGGAAGCTTAAGTGGGTCTCAGGCTTCAAAAGTTCCGCAAATATGACGCTCTACTTATTTGTTAGCCATAATACAGTAAATAAATTGTAAATTCTTCGGTCAGGTAAACGTGACTTTTTAAGAATGTATTTAAAAAACATCATTGAACACGAGAAACAGCACGTAAATTAAAATTACATATGTATGTGTGTAACAAAAACAGGCACCTTTTGTTGCGTATCTTTACGTATGTATGTATGAACGTAATAGACGTTTATCTATTTTCAGGTATAGGTCATGACTTTGCCGCCACATTCTTTGTGTAAAATATTCTAAGCGCGTCCCATTGTTTGGTGTGAAGCAAGATGTGCGGACGGCAGTGACGCATATGGTCGACAGCTTGATCTGGCGTCCATCCGTTTTTCTAAATTTAAAGCGTTATTTTAATAATGTTTTATATGTTTGCACATGCACATACCAGCATTAAGTAGCAACCGACCAAAGTGGCGCTACGCGTACGTCCCGCTTTGCAGTGCACGTACACGGTTCCAATATTCTCCGGATCCTGTGTTGTGCTCAGACCCTTTATTCTTTTTGTCAGGGGTAAAAATCGATTAATAAACTCGACGCCACGGAACAATTTCTCTTGATTTGGCGACTCAAAAATATCCGTTGTGGCCAACTGTAGGAACTCCACACCAATATTTTTCCACTTAGGAGCATCGTTTGAAAAGGCGCTTAACTCATAGTCCTCGTTCATTGACACCACAGCCTTCATATTTTCTTTGGTGATCAGCTAAAAGGGCAGAAGGTGTGATTCATTTCAAGATGTTATGTGTCTGGACTTGTAACTTACGTCATGTGCTTGATTTCGGAATGGTAGCGCGCCCAGTATAACGTTCTCATCGACCCGGTCGTACCAGTTGCGGGCCGAAGCCTTCTCCATAAGTACATTGTAAAGTAGGGTGGGGTAGAAGGTAACACGTGCAATCATTGCAGCCTTTTTGGGTGGTAATGGAACAGGACAAAAAGAAAAGCTTTCAAATATTAAGACGACTCAATTCCAATGACTCTTACTAGGCAGCCCAGTCTATGAAGAGCTGTAAACTTTCACCAGCGCAAGTTATTTACACTTGAATGTCTTTATTTAAGCCAAGCGCATTCGTCAGTGCGTGTTGGTTGGAGTGTAGCTTGGAACTGGTTTAAGTGTGTTTGTGGCGTCGCTTCTTGACTGACTTTGGCCCTCAAAACCCTCCGCGCTCTTTTGTTACTTACACTCATCTCCATGCCTTTAGCGCGCTTTCGTCACGGTCAACAATAAATCAGCACAAAAAAAAAACGCTGAATCAGAGCATTTACAATGTTATGCCCGAATTTTAATTAGTACATTTACGAATTATTATCACCCCAGAATTGTATTCACGATCTTTGTGGCTTATACACCGACCATTCTATTCATTTGCATAAGAACTCCCAAATATGTCAGTGATTTTCAACACTGTCGCGGTGTCATCGTTGTTGCGGCTTTGCAACACTCGAAAGAGCACATATAGTATTCCAACTATAAGATACGTGTGTTGTGTGTGAAAAAGTAGAAAAGAAGCTAAGCCAGGGCAAAGGCAATTATAATAACAATCGAGTTCGTTTAAAAATGCGAAAGCGATAAAGCTGATCGAGCACTATCAGACGGTAAAAGCAATAAGTTAGGGGTTTTGGCGCACGAAAGAAAAAGTAAATAACACAACACGTCAGTCCTAAAGAGCAACGGCAGACGAAGGCAGAAAGTAACACAGTTTTGCCTATATCTTAATCATTTTATTTTCTGTTTTTTTTTTTCAATTTTCGGCTGACACACAGACACGATGAAACTGTCGAGCTTTACGTGTCTATTGTTACTCCTGGTGGCACAGCGAGCCCAGGTGTTGAGGGCTGAGCTGCAGGGACCATTGGAGAGTGAAGCGGCGGTGGCCTCGACAGCGACAAAACAAAATGTCGAGTCGGCAACGTCTGCAACTGAGGCGCAGGGGAGTGAAGAGATTACTACCAGCACCGAAAAAGAATCCACAGTTCCTGTCGATGCCTCCACCACAGGAGGAACGAGTAATGAACGCAAAGCGTCTAAGCCGAAGGATAACGAATTTGTACAACGCACAAAAGTAATGCCAGCTGCTTTGTTCGAACGTCTGTGGAACGATAGTTTAATGAAGCAACAAAAACTGAAAGCCGAAATCGAAGCAATTGAAGCACAACGTCCGCCACCCGAGGTTGTTGAGCTGACCCCCGATCAGGTGGAAGGTTAGAGGCAGTTTAATTATGTCGAGCGCAAGTGAATTAATCATAATAATTATTTTGGTCATCCCATCAGTTGAAACCATGTACAACAATGCAATTGACATGATGGCCAAGCCACGGACGGACAAGCGAGTAGCCTTTACACTTCTGCGAAAGGCCGCTGCATTGGGTCATTCTTTCGCACGAGCTGATCTGGCCTGGTCTGTCGTTCTCGGTCACTGGATGGACTTCGATTTTCACCATGCCGCCGAAGAGTTTGAGAACTTGGCCAAAGAAGGTGTAGCCGATGCTCACTTGGGTCTGGCATTTCTGTATTCCGTTGGAGTTGGTGGAAAGAACATTAGTCAGCCCCTCGCGCTGATACACTTCACATTGGCTGCTCTCGGCGACAGCACGCTCGCACAAATGGCCATGGGCTATCGTTATTTGTACGGCATCAATGTGCCCATCAGCTGCGAAAAGGCGCTGTCGCAGTACAAACGTGTGGCTAAGAAAGTGGCTTCAAAGGTAACATTCGCTAATGGACCAGTAGTGCATCGTGTCAGGTTGCTCGATGAGTTGGAGAATCCAGGCAGCCATGAGACAGAAATTGTGGATTACTATCAACTGCTGGCCGACAAGGGGGATGTTCAATCCCAAGTCGGTCTAGGCCAATTGTACTATCAGGGTGGCAAAGCCATACAGCAGGATCATCAGAAGGCGCTGGAGTACTTCACTCAAGCGGCAAACGCAGGAAATGCCATTGGCTTTGCATTTCTGGGAAAGCTTTACTTGGAGGGCAGCGAGCAAATAAAAGCGGACAAAGACACGGCTTTTAAGGTGAGTTAACACAGTTATTGCAATTTCTACAAGTGTGAACTTATATGATATATTGATATACATACAAGAAAGCGTAATCATTAAAATCTTAATACATTTCGGGAACATTCCTACTTCAAATAACCTCGTTAGCTTAAACTACTTACTGATAAAAAAAATCAATTAAGTTCTTCAAAGTATGTATGCGATTTGCATTATTAGTATGGTTTTGATCTCAGTTTCTCAAACAGACCGACTTTTATATGCCCTAAAGTGCTTATAGGGCCATTATGTTTTTTGTTCGAAATACGAAAAGCTCTATCTAGCGAGATCAGATGGTATAACTAAGTTGGCGAAAAATGAAGTGTATTATCAAGAACGTTGAAATAACTGGGGGCTATTGCAATAGATTATTTTTCTCTTCACACACAGATAACAAATCAAATTGTATACATACATATGTAGACAATTCACTGTGAATAAGGTTTTGTAAAAATCATATAGGAAACTCAAATCTAATCTTATTTAATAGCTTATTAATATATTTTTGTGTTTGTCTTTTCAGTACTTTACTAAGGCAGCTGAAATGGGCGATCCTGTGGGCCAAAGTGGACTTGGTCTGATGTACTTGAAGGGACTCGGTGTGCCAAAGGATTCCATAAAAGCATTGTCGTACTTCACGCAAGCTGCAGATCAGGGCTGGGTCGACGGCCAATTGCAGTTGGGAAACATGTACTTCAGTAAGTTTCAGGAATATTTTTTCGATGCCTCATTTAGCTATCTCCATTTTATAGCTGGCAATGGCGTTAAAACGGATTACAAATTGGCTCTTAAATACTTTAACTTGGCCTCACAATCGGGTCATGTTTTGGCGTACTACAATTTGGGAATTATGCATGCCTATGGCATGGGCATGTTGCGTTCATGTCCCGCAGCTGTCGAAGTAAACTTGAAAATTTGGTATACAAATTAGATCTAAATTTTAATTCTTTGACTACTTTAGTTCTTCAAGAATGTAGCTGAACGTGGGCGCTGGAGTGCTCGAATGATGCACGCATATAGCGACTACAAACAAAATCGGATCGATGAAGCCTACATGCAGTATGCGCTGATGGCTGAGGTCGGCTATGAGGTGGCTCAGAGTAACGCTGCTTTCTTGCTGGATCGCGAGGAGGTCCATGTGTTCAATGATCGTCACGAGGACTTAATAAGAGCATTCTATTATTGGAAACGTGCAGCTGGTCAAGGTTATTCTGCAGCACAAGTCAAATTAGGTGACTACTACTACTATGGCTGGGGCACCAATACGGATTTCGAGACGGCTGCTGCACTATACAGGTATACAAATCAAAGTTTGATCGTAAAGATTTAAACGAACAGATAAGACACCGTGATATTTTTAATCGTACTTATTAGTTTACATTATTTATATGATTAATTTGCTACCTAAAGTGTTGTCGTGTAACTGCACAGTATTAGAACCATGGAGGAACCATCTAAAAATCCTATTTGGCATTCCCAGTATCGTAAAATATTTAAATATATATTATATATAATAATAATATGATTTTGGGCAAGAAATAGTTAGGTTGATATGCCGAACATAAAAAAGGGACAATCAATAATATTTGTCAATGTGACTTTTTAAATGTACTTTACAACTCTTTAGAGACGTTTCAGACTAACATTTGTTTTATACGCTTCGAACAGGAAAGCATCGGAGCAACAGTATAATGCTCAAGCCATGTTCAATCTGGGTTACATGCATGAGCAGGGTCTGGGAATGAAGAAGGATTGGCATTTGGCTAAAAGATTGTACGATTTGGCAGCTGAAACGAATTCGGATGCCAAAGTGCCTGTGGCAATGGCATTATTTAAGCTACAAATGCTGGCAAAAATTGAATCGATAAAAGAGGTATGTACAATATTAGAATAATTACCACGTAAATAGGCATTTCTAACAATTGGAATTTTTCGTCACAGTCGCCGTACAAGTTCATTTTCTATTTGGATGAGAATATTGCCGCGAATTGGGATCTGTATATGATTACAATACTGACGCTCTTGTTAGGCTTTATTATGTACACCCGAAGACCATTCCAGCAGCCAGCTGAGCAGCCTCAGCCTGCGGATCCACCTAACGATAACGCCGCAGTCAATGTGAATCAAGTGCATGCCGCTGCACCAGCGGCCACAGCAAGTGCAGGGTTAGGAGCGACTGCAGTCGCCGCTGGCGGTAATGAGGAAGCGGCCACATCATCCTCAGCACCCATGACCACAACCTCTACGTTACCTATATCGACAACTATAAGCACTGCAGAAGCAGCTTCCACGTCCGGTGCGACGGCTGCCAACAGCTCATCCTCAGCGCCGAGCAGCGCAAATACACTCGATCCCACTGATTAGTCTTAAACAAATTGTTTAATAACTCTAGTTTAATTAGTGTCTGTGTAAATATTTATCATCTAATTTCACCGTTTTAATTTTTTATTAACTTTAAAAAAACAATGAACTTTTAGATATTTACAAAATATCGTACTCAAAAAATATATATTTGTCCCTAATTGCTAATTCTGCTGAATGGAAACACGACAAAAGATAAACATGGGCGACAAACTCCAATATTTTTTATATTTAAGTTTTCGTGTTTATTGTGTAAGCTTGAATGTGAAAAAACAATTGTAGCACTTGGCCAAATTACATATATATTTAGACTGCAAATTTCTAACTTAGGCATAGTAGTTAAGATTAGCTTTCTTCTTGGCCTGCACCTCCATGATAGCATCCATGAAGTCTTCGTGTGTGACTGATGTAGCCGAGCGACGCAAAGCTATCATGCCCGCTTCCACACAAACGGCTTTGCATTGAGCGCCGTTAAAATCGTCTGTGGAGCGCGACAGTTCCTCGAAATTTACATCGCTGCTTACGTTCATTTTTCTCGAATGGATTTGCATAATACGCGCACGTGCCTCTTCATTTGGGTGTGGGAACTCAATTTTGCGATCGAGACGGCCAGAGCGCAGCAGGGCAGGATCGAGAATGTCCACACGATTGGTGGCAGCAATGACCTTAATGTCTGCAGTCGAACTGAATCCATCCAACTGATTTAGCAGCTCCAACATGGTACGCTGGACCTCACGATCGCCGGCCTTTTCGGAATCAAATCGCTTTGTGCCAATGGCATCCAATTCGTCAATGAAAATTATAGCTGGCGCTTTCTCTTTGGCGAGAGCAAAGGCATCACGCACCAATTTGGCGCCGTCACCAATAAACATTTGAACGAGTTGTGGGCCAGCGAGTTTTAGGAAAGTCGACTTAGTCTGTGCGGCACAAGCACGAGCGAGCAGAGTTTTTCCAGTTCCAGGGGGACCATACAGCAAGACACCTATGAGAATTAAGAGTATTTTATAGCAAGCGGATAATTAATATATAAATAAAGGTCTAACCTTTTGGAGGATGAATGCCTAAGTTCTTAAATTTCTCCTTGTGTGTCATAGGCAGTACCACGGCTTCGATTAGCTCCTGAATCTGTTTGTCAAGGCCACCGATATCGGAATATTGTTCTGTGGGACGCTCATCAACTTCCATAGCTTTCACGCGTGCATCATATTCAGCAGGAAGTGTCTCCAAAATGAGATACGAATCCTTGTTAACTCCAACTAAATCACCGGGCTTCAGTTTCTCCGCATCGACAAGGCCAATGACAGGCAAGAAGTAAGCCTGACGAGTGGATGTTTTAATGACTGCGCATTTGCCCTTTCGCTGATTGTCCAGAACGGTGACGGAACCATCGTCCTCTTCTTCTTGTGGATCAACATCCAATAGCTCTATGACGTTCGACACCAGATACGGTAGCGTTTTGTTAACCTAAAAGGGTGCTTGTTTAGCTAATGTGTAATTGCAGATGTGACGCTGCACTTACCTTAATCTTCTCAGTATTATCTTTGATCTTTTCATTTTGAGCCTGAATCTCGTGAGTGATGCGCATTACCTCGCTCTTCATTATTTTGATTTCATTGTCCATCAGTCGAGTCCTGCTCACAATTTCATCTGTGGACATACGCAGAACCTCTTCGCCTAGTGATTCCTCACCATCTTCCCATATAGACTTGTCCTCCAATGTTTGGGCCATTTTTAATGCAGGCACTAATTCTTTTTAATAAATGGAAAATAGCTGCGCTTTAAGTAAATCTGTAGGCGCTTGATTTTCCGCTCGATGACTTGTAAATTTTCTGTTTTTTGTGCCGAGTATGACAGCTACATAAATAGTGTTAAGAAACGCCGAACAATTATCGACTGCGTCGATAGATAGATATCACACATTGGCTTGACAGCAGAGAACGCTTTTTGTGTGTAAAAATTGCCAATTTATTAATTGTGCGATAACGTCGTTAAAAATGTCAGAAAATAATGGTAAGTGTCCCAATTAACTAGCATTCGTTTTTAAAATGAAAAACGCCACATTCTTTTTGATGTGCATCGAAATCTCGGCTCAAACATGGAAAAGCAAAAATTTTAATGCAACTCTTTTTTTTTCAGAAGCGTCTATTGAAAGCAATTGTTTTAGAGGCGGGTTTACATTGAAAGCCTCTCGCTTAGGTGGCGCTGTTTTGCGTCCGCCTGTTCTTGGTCCGTCCGTGATTGGTGGCGGAAGTCATGTTAACAGTAAAAATAGTTCCACATCCTCAGCCGGCACTGAGAAACCACAAGAGGCGAAGCCGAGCGAAGATAATCCATTTTTACGCGAGCAAAAAGACGAAGATGATGTTGGATCAGGGGAGATAGTGGAGTCCACTGAAAAGTCTGACAAAGACGAGATTGATGAGCGCCCAGATCCGCTTACAATGCTCCGCAACAACGGTATGGAGCGGAGCAACATTTTTGCAGCGGCCAAAACCACCATGCCGCGTATGGAAAGCAGCGGCTTTGTTTTTGGCCAGAATGTGCACGAAAGAGTAGTTGGTGTAAGTAACATGCCGATAGATGTCCAAGTAGAAGTTTAAATCCCGTTTATTATATGTACAGGAAAACATTGTCACAGAATCCAAGGCAGAATCTGGCACCTCGGAAATAGCCTCAGCCACACCGCAGCTTCTATTCTCGAGCGTAATTCAAAAGGCTGCTAAAACTACAGAGAATAACGAAGCCACAGGAAAAAGTAAAGAAGTTGAGGCCAAGAGCCTGACAGATGTGGCGCGTGAGTATGAGGAGAGTCGTGCTCAAAAGCGTAAATACGAGGAGGTTGAAACTTTTACTGGCGAGGAGAACGAAATCAATATTGTCGATGTCAGCTGTAAGTTGTTCGCCTTTGTGAATAGCAATTGGGAGGAGCGCGGTCGCGGCAGTCTGCGTCTTAACGATGCAAAAGCTGAGGACGACTCCTCACGTGTTGTGTTTCGCACTTCGGGCAACTTGCGGTTGCTGCTGAACACAAAAGTCTGGGCAGCCATGGTGGCCGAGCGTGCTAGCCAAAAGTCATTGCGTCTAACCGCAATGGACAACACGGGCACGGTGAAGATCTTCCTGGCCATGGGCAGGCCTGCCGATATAGCACAGCTGCACAAGGCACTGAGCGAGCGCATTATCAAACGCAAACTGACACATCCCGAGGAGTGCGCAGCTACGGGTAGTGGCGAGCAGGCAAAAAATGGATTGAGTCGCAAAGAAGGTGATGCAGATTGCGCTACCAGCTCACAGCCCGAATCAACTACCAATGATGACGAGGACGATGATGCAGACGATGACACTGTTAACAATTCTGCTGCTGCTGCTGCTGCTGACGGCACTGATTTGACCGAAGTTGAAGCCCAGGCGGCTAAAGCTGATAAGAAAGGTGTTGATGGTACTGAAGACGCAGACAGCACTGAGCCTAGCCCCAAAAAACCTCTAGTAGTGGTGGCCGACAGTAGCGCCGATGTCAAGGAGCAGGAGCAGAGCAGCAGTGCTGGAGGCGAGGCTGGAGCTGCCGTCGATGACGGAGTACTTTCGTATTTTTTATAAAAGAATTCAACTATTTAAACGCTGTAAGTCGTGAATTATTATACACTAATTATAATAATTTATTAATAATTATTATTAATAAAGTCAAATAAATGAAGTGCTGATTTGTACGCCGGAAACCTGAGCAATCACGCACCAATGCAAATGAATGATAGCCATCTACACAATTTCGAAGTAAATTTCCGCAGTTATAAAACGGACCTCCGCCCGCGGTTTTCCCAATAAATGATAAATGTTACTCTGCTGTTACCAAGATATGATTGGAACAATAGCGATGAGCGCCTTCTTCAATAAAGTTATCCAAATTCAATAATTCATATAATGATTTGTTCTTAGTCGCTCGAAGTCCTCTTGTTAAAGTTTATCCATGAATCCGCTTCTTATCCAATTTTTTAGCTAGCAAAAAGACTTCACTTTACTATTTTAAGTTTATGTTTATTTGTGTGTTAAAAAATACATACTATATATCGCTTTCGAATATATTTCTATGCATATGTCCCACAAACGACGCTTTCATTATTTAAGGTACAACAACACGAAATTTAATTTAAATATTTGCATTTTTCGTTTCAACTAGAGTTTCAATTTGATTTTGAGTCACTTTAAGCTTAATTATAAACTTGGGGAAAAAAGTTGCGAATGCCATTAGCTCTACAATTCTCTTAAAAATACTTTTTACAAGTTCTGCGCTTGCACTAAAATACATACGTAGAAAAATATTAAATTTGTTTTTCATTTTTGTGTTTTTTGTTTCTATTGTACACATACAATCTAATTGGAAGTTGAAACGTTGCTCTAGTACAGCAGCTAATGCAACATTTAAAATTTGTATGTATAAAACTGACGACCGCTAACCACTTATACAATATGACCGCCGCCTTTGAATGCTCTTGGGAGCGGAGGCGGCGACCTACCACTACTTAATAGGCCTACGCTATAATAGACTCTGCGTTCGAAAGCTTTGGCAACAGGGCTTTGAACCATTCGGTTTAAACACTTTCGATTGGCCTGGCCAAAGCGCTCAGTAAATTTAATTCATTAATTTAATAACGCTTAAAATAGAGTTGCGCAATAGGCGCGGGAGTAACAGCCTGCGTGGAAGGGCGCCTTGCTGCTCCAGTCGCGCCAATCTGTAGCAAGTAGTGAGTTTACTTCTAGATATTCTGGGCCACTCCAGCGCCCCAGCTTCATTAGCTCTTAGCTAATCGTGCTGCAGCTGGACACGGTGACGTTAAGCGGGTTGTTGGTGCCATTGTTGCTGCTGCTGACTGCAACGGAGGAACTGCAAGGAGAGAAAAAAAGGAATGGTATATTAACACACAAGTGTGTATAAAACTGGTAAAGTTTTCCCGCTGATATCTAGAGGTCTGAAACCCAGTACGCGACGCTTTTAGGACAGATTCCGATCAGTTTCTGGTATATAATTCATATTTCAAGGTTTCTGAAGAACTAAACATTGGTTTATATATCATGAACTGTTTCAAGAAACCTTACATTATAACACTAGGACTGAGTTATCTCTAGAAACGTATGCGGGTAATTGTAAGGAAAACTAAATCTAATCAACAATTTCAACCGAATGTTTCGGTTTCGAACGATTTAAAATCATAATAAGTAATTGTTATAGTTAGATAGTAATTATCTCCACAGTTCACTCTAAACACCGTTGAGCCCTGTCTATTCCCTATTATTTCTATAACTTACTCTTACCGATTATGCCTCATGTGACTTTTGACTAGATCGTTATTGACTAGCGCCGCCATCAGACTCAATTCTCCGGCCATGACGGTAGCGCACACGATTTGCGCCAGTTTCTTGGCATTGTCACCCGGCTGACTGGGATGCGCACCGCGTACTCCCAGCAGATCCAGACAAGCGCCTTGGCCCGGCAGCCCTGTGCCGCCGCCCACTGTACCCACTTCCAGAGATGGCATTGTGCATGTCATATACAAATCCTCGTTATTCTCCACCCAGCACTCCATGGCGGTCGAGCAGTTGCTTGAGGTAACATTCTGAGCAGGGTCCTGCCCGGTGGCTAGGAACACGGCTGTTACCATATTGGCTGCATGGGCGTTGTTGCCACCAATGCTGCCCGCCATGGCGCTGCCCGACAAATTCTTTAGCTTATTGCACTCCACCAGGGTTTTCGCATCTGTTTTCAGAACGGAGCGCAGAGTTTGCGCTGGAATCGTGCATTCGGCGACAACACGCTTGCCACGTCCCTTAATCCAATTGATGGCAGCTGGTTTCTTGTCGCAACAGAAATTGCCGCTCAGGGATATGATTTGCATATCGGGGAAGTGTCGCTTAATGCAACGCATTGCCATCTCGGCGCCCTTGGAGACCATGTTCATGCCCATGGCATCGCCAGTGAGTGCCACGAAGCGTATGTACAGCTGAGGTCCATCCATGGCAATGTGACAATCCTTCAAGCGGCCGAAACGCGAGGTGGAGTCGAACTCTGTCTTGATCGTTCGATAGTTTACGTCCTGCTCGATCCAGCTCTTGGCCTCGGCAGCGCGTGCAACGCTCGGAAAACGAACAGCAGGCGCTCTGGTCATGCCCACATCCTCGACCACAGAACGAACTCCGCGCACCGACAACGCCTTGCAGCCACGATTTGTGGACGCTACAAGCGCCCCTTCGGTGGTGGCCATTGGCACGTAATATTGCACACCATCTAACAGCAAGGGTCCAGCATAGCCCACGGGTATGGGCACATAGCCAAGCACATTTTCGCAGCAGGCATTCATCACCTTACGATAATCAAAGTGCTGATAGGGAAGCACCTCGATAACGCTGGCTGGAACGTTGGCCCGGGCGGCCAGAATTTGACGTCTGATCCGAACTCCACGCTCTGGATCATCCAGCACCGTTTCAATTTTGTATAGCGGACAATGTTGGGCACCGGCATTGACAATGCTTATGATCTCCTCATCACTAAGAGTGGCAGCGCCGCCGCTACCTTCTTCCGTGCAGTTTAATATGTCCAGGCACTCCTGTAGGGGGCGCGGAGGCATTTCTAAGGGCCTCATTCGCTGACGTAGTGGCAAAAGTTGCTCTCCAGTGGCACTCAAATCAGTTTGGGAGGCCGTATGCACAAAGCTCTGTTCCTCAATCGTGAAGAGCGGTATACGTGCAGGTGCTGGAGGTTCGACTATGCGAGGGACTGCAGTCAGCGCCATAGCCTGCTCATTGTCCTGAGAGGGTGATCCGTGCAGCGGCGTTGTCTGTGATGCTTTGGCTGCTATGGCCACCGTGGAGGATTGAGATTGACGTATTTGATCCTGGAGATTCTCGCGATTATCGAAGCATATAAATTTGACGACCAAGGCGATTAATACTATGGAGATTACAATGTGATCCGCGCTCATTGTCAGCCATCTGGAAGCAGAGGGACAGATGAAATAAAATTAAGATTATGTTGAGGAGCAAAAAGAATTTTGTAGTGGGATAGTAATTCAAAACAAAACAATATGCTCTATATTAAAGGCATATTAAACAAGGGCGTAGGCAGCTTTTACCAAAGGGGGGGGGCCAAACAATTTATATTTTGATAAAATAATGCACGATGCATTTAAAAAATATCTTATGCATATTTATTTGAAAAACTACGTTTTAGTACATCCTCAAGAACCAATAATATAAACAGTATACGATACAAGCTTGGCTGTTCTGAACGGCAGTTCTTCTTCCCCTGCCTACGCCCTTGATATTAAACATTGTGCATCATTTGTAAGATGGATTAGATACATTTTTTTTTTTTTTTAATACATATACTTATTCCCATATTTTAAGGAGGTGAAGTTAAAAATATACTTTGAATAAAAATACTACAACTATATGAAATTTGTGCAGTGTATACTCACTTAATGATGATTTCAGTGAACTCGCCTGACTCAGTCCGATTGTTGTTCACATTGAGGTTGAGCGTTGGTGATAGAGTCTTGTCCACTGCGTCATAGTCGCTGCTGGAGAACACTACGCGACTATAGATGTGCACAATCATTAGACCTGTGGTCATTATGAGCTTAACCCGCTGTAAAACAGGATTAGCCTTTTGCTCCTCCTCCGTTAACGACTTTAGCAACAAGGAGCCCTTGGCCTTTTCCCGCACCAGAGACATGTTCACGCCGTTGCGGGATAAATCGAAGATTAGCGACAGACAGGCTGGATAGAATGTCATGAATACTACGTAGTTGACCAGCACCGAAAGCACGGCAAACATGCAGAGCACCTCCAGGCGTTGGACGCCCGATAAAGTGCCGACTCCCACCAGCAGTGCCTCAACAATGGTGTCAAGTGAAATGGTGGGTCCTAAGAGCTCTAGTCCCCGCGCAATATTCTGCGTTACCTCGGCCTGGTTGCTGCCCGAAAGCGCTAACTGAGCCAGGCGACCGGAATTGGACAGGTCAATGACCAGCAGCAAAAAGAACATGGCATCTCTGTAAATACATTGGCAATTAGTCGTCGAAAAAATGAAAATTAAACAGAGGGGTTTTTTGTACTCACTTCAAGTCCGAAATGTCGCTGCCCAAAAACTTAATAATAGTTGTGGTAAATATGAAGCTTGAGAATACGGTGAAGAGGCCGGCAATGCCTGTGAAATAAATATGAGAAGGTAAGTACATAGATAAGAGAAATGAAATGTGTGTCCAACCCAAATTGGCACTAAAGGTTGAATCGTTTAGAGCGAAGGTGAGAAATGCCATGGTGGCGTGGCCGAATACCAAGCGAGATTCTAGAATTGGTCAAACACACGCGCCCGTGGCAACTGAGACTTGCCAGGGTCCAGCAGTCCAAGTAGTTTCGTTAGAATAAACACAAGAAATAATTCTAATTCTAAAACTTTACTTGTGGTAGACGGGCGCTAATAGATTTAGCAAATTGTGACGCAATCCCCAAACAACAATAGATTTTACGCTGTCCAAGGGGCTCGAGGAGGATGACAGAAAAAATGATAGCAGCTGGTCTCAAAAACGTAGAAAAACATGTCTAGTGTTTAATACTAATTCACTATCGAGGGTGTTAACAGTATCGGAGACGTCGTTTGATAATTAACCAATAATAATACTAATGACCCGGCCCTCTGTTTATGCATATGGTACATATTTTCAAACTCGCACAAAATAAATTATTATTTTGAACTCAATTTATGAATAGAGAGTCTTTAAAACTGTTAATCGTCTATTCAAATAACTTGGCAAAAAGCTGATCAATAAATGTAACTTTTTAAAGACATACTCGTTTCTTGTAGAATGGATACATTGTTCGATCATCTTCTTAAAGTGGCTTTTTTTTCTTGTTATCTATACCGGGCTTTATCAGCAATATTTTAAGTTTCAATCAAAGTTGATTGAGGATGTCTTTATCGGCATGATAATTTATCGTCGTAATGCTCCCTCATTACATCATCTTTTGGATGAGATAATAGATGCCCGATCATCTTTTTCAATCACTATTCTCAATCACAAGCCGTAACTATCATTTCAATTAAAGGGCATTATAAATTGTAGTTTCACAGAATCGGATATCTGATTTGAAGTTCTTTGTAGGAAGGCTTCTTTATAGTGAATGAGGATTTGTTTTTACAACATACCTAGCACATATTTGGAGCCAAGTCGATGCAGACTGCAGAACTGATAGTAACAATAGAGTACCGCCGTGCAGCGCACGATGGTCATCAAAATGACATCGGCAGCATTGTATTCCGCCTCGAGACCGTCGCAAGACTGACTCCAGCCATGACAGCGACTGTGGCGACTGGATCCCGCTGATCCTGTTCCGCCGGCTCCGGTCGAAGTGGGCACGTTTGTGGCTACTGGGGAGCCTCCAAATTCCGCGCTGGCCGCTGAACCTGCTGCTGCTGCGGCCACATTGGCGCTGACTGCCCCGCTATTGAGTCCACTTGTGTCCAGCGTTGTGCTTTTGTCCACTGTCAGCATGCAGGCAGTTACTGTGAGTAGCGCGACAATCACTTCCCAGGGATGTGAGGCGCAGAATTCGCCATGAGCGCGAAATAAGCGTCCAATCATTTTTCTTGTCTTGAGTTTTATTGTTTTTTTTTTTCTTGTATTATTCTAGTGGATGGCCAGCGAGTGGGCCAGGCTTTTTTAATTCCACTCTTTGTGATGAGACTCCTCCTTTCAATGCTTTGTGCACGCGTCCTGCGTTTTCTATTTATTCCCTTTTGTGAACTGCAAAAAAGGAGAGCAAATCGTTTAGTTTTTTTCGTGGCGTGTGTGTGTTCTTAAATTTTGAAATCAATTCACACCAATGGGCCCTGCCAGACCTCCACGATGGCGCAGAGTGCACTGCAAACTGGCGTGTCCACTACATGCTAGTAATTTATTAAGCCCGTGCGCACAACTAAGCGACATGAAAGGGGCAAAAAAAAAACTAAATAATAAAAAACGAAATGATATTAACAACTAAAGCAGCAAAATTTATCGATTAAACTGTTGACATATTCAGGAAGGCAGCGGGGCCGGAAAAGGAAAGCTGTTTGCTGCTGGGACATGAAACGGACTTGAACCTAAGCGGCTTTCAATAAGCAAAGGGAGCCATCGAGCAGGCCCAGCAGCCGAGAGTGAGCCACAAATTGATGCAGCAAAAAAGTTGATGCTCTTGTTATTACACTAAGCGGCTTTTGGATGCGTCCTTGGAGCGCATTGCGTGCCAGGCCACAAACCAGAAGCAGAAAGGCAGGCATGCGGGCAGCAGGCAGGTATATATAAAAACCCGGTGCCTGTGATTGATAGTATAAGCCCGTAATATCCGCATGCCAAGGCGCCATTAGTAGTAGTTGACACGCCCGGCCGCTCGCACGCCTGGTCGCTTTAATTAAGCCATCAAGTGTTTTGTGCGCTACTAATCTTGATTTAACGATCGTACGCCTTGGTCTGCTTCCAGACGTGCTCGGCATGGCCAAGCGTCCTGGCTGCGGCACAGAAACTGAGAGAAAGAGACTAATAGGGAAGCAGCGGCATTAGACGACGCGCCATAAATATTTAAAGGGTGTTGTTAGTATCAGGCAGCACTTTGTCTTATGCGCCGGCGCAACGCTTCTCAAGTGGCAGTCGTTGCTTGCTCCGAATACAGTTGAACTTCTTTAAAACACGCCGCGAAGATTATATTTTTATTCAATGTGGACAAGTCAAGGATCACTAAGCTCGCTAAACTACTAAGGAAGAGAGTCCTGATAAAATGATTGTTCAGAATAAATGTGGTGTCGCTTATGAAGAAGACCCTTTCAAGACTTTCTGCATGGAATCAGTTATAGAAGGTGTGGGAGGACAGCTAAGAGAGTTTGTTATAAAGCTGCTTGACTGTACGCACTTCTAGCTCGTAACTCACTCTCATGTTCCAGATGCCAACATATACTCGTAAATTAAATAAATCAAATGCCGCTAGACAGGCTAGTTAGCGCCTGCTGGGGCTGGGACTGGGACTTGTGTAATATGAAACCATTGTGTTGGGTCGTAAAATACCAGACAGACCCGTCAGTTCGGCCGTCCTTTGAACAATGAATGTAAACATCACACTATACGTACATTGGGGGTCGTAAAAAGTGTAAAGCATAAACAACAAGCTCAGTTGTATCAACAGAGAAATGGTTTACCAAAAATAAATTGTTATTATTCACCGTGGCTCAAATAAAATGCCACTAAATATACCAAATGCATACATATATAGATTTTAATGATGTAGTAGCACGTTATATAATAGCGGGAGGTTCAAAGCTTGCAGGTTTTTCCAAAATTATAAATAACAGAAAGTGCCGTCGGTTAGATTAGTTGAAATTGGCAAGAGATAAGCAAGCTTACGATAAGGAGCAAGGTCCCTTCTTAGCCAATTCGAGTGAAGGTAAAAAATAATTTAACATCCTTGTATCTTGTACCTAGAAAGAGCAGCTGGTGGAGTCCCAATTTACTCTAAAACCATCTGCTTTCTGTTATTCAATTTAAAAAAAGGAAGTCAAGTTTAAAAATAAAATAAAAATTAATGGAATGTGAAATTGGAATTACTTTCTCACCCCCCTATTCGCCGGACTTAGCTGCATCCGATTATTTTTTTCTTTCCAAACTTGGAAAAATTAATGGCTCATTGGTAAGAGGTTGGTAACAATAAAGAAGTTTACCTCTTCGGACATTTTTTAAAGGGAAAGGTGTATCGAGCTAGAGAAAGGGAATTTTGGAAAGGGCAATTCGTTGTAAGCTCGGGCCCTTTTGGGATAATTCTCTCTTTTTGTCAATTCTTTTTCACTCAATATATATTAAAATCTTGGTTAATGCAAATGTATATCAAATCTGTCATAAATCATATTTGTGTCATACTTATTAACATTATAACACATTGTTCACATTACATATATTTTTGTATAATTATAATAATATAACCCTGCACCCTGAACTATGTATCTAGGTTTTCAATGACAAATCTTTTGGGTTTTTTTTCGTAACTTTCGTAGCGTTTTTTCATAGAATTCGCACACTCTATTCAAACAAACTAAAGTATGGTCGTGATATGCACACCCGTTAAATTTGTTTAAATATTTATTTGTGGTTATTTAATGGGAACTGGTCTATGAACTCTCCCGCCGCAATATCAATGACGCTAATCTACAGTCAATAAATGGTGTGTTTAGCATCTTTTATGGGATTTACCGCATAATGGGACGTGACATTCAATTCGTTTTGGTAGATGACAATTATTTCTGCCGATATTATGTTAATTACATTAAAGTTTGAAAACTATTGACAGGCCTATCGGTACTAAAAACGTGGGAAGCAATCAATCCCAATCTTAGGATTGCGCGATTTGGAATCAATTTCAGATGAAAGTATAGCTTTGAAATTGTGTGAACAGATTAAGGAAGTAGGGCGGGGAATTGGAAAACTAGGAGCATTTGCGTAGCAAGATTAAGCAATGCGCATAAAACTTTACTTTAACTATTTAATGATATGTTTAAAGTTTCGTGAGAATATCGGGAATATTGCATGTTATGGTTTAGAAAGGTATTTGGGAACCAGCTCTCCTCTGTCCATACCTTTTAAAGAATTTTGTAAGTAAGTGCAATGTAACACGTTTATTGGCCACAAATTCTTACACACTTTTACTTTATTATGTAAAGCAACGTAATTGAAAATAATTAGACATCGAATATTCAATATGGTTTGCTAAATCGTTAGCTGTTTTGAAATCGATATACGTGCGATTCAACACGTTTTTGATGCCACACGACAAGCTTGCGACATAATTCCCCAAGTGTTTTTGGACTGTTTAAATTACGATTTTAAATTAGAAAGCAATTGGTTGATTATATAAACATGTTCATTAGGGTTGGTAAATAATGAGAAATGCCAGGAATTAAACAAAGTTATCTGAATGATCAGTGAACAACGTAGTAAAAAATTGAATGGGAAAACTTAATTTTGGAAACTTTGGATTGATTTGTGGCCACATAAGGGGTTTTGGTGGTGATATTGGTGTTATTAGGTTGGTACGAAAGTAACTGCTTCACATTTAGAGAAATTCTTGTAAGGAAAAACTTTCCTCCTGCAAAGTAAATATCTCGTTTTGCTTACAGTAGGGTTTTTGAAAATGAATATCCTCTTAAACAAACAAATGTAAGTTAATATTTTCATCGCCAAGTGTGCGTCACTCCTGTAAATGTGGGCCATTTTTCATTGCGTAAACAGAATAATTGAAATTGTTTATTTGAGCCTTATAAATAAAAAGATTGTTGACCCCATGCGCACGTCACTTGGGCATTGTAATGTGCAACCAATTTTCCGGCTATGGTGCTGACATAATACACAAAGCTACGATAGCAACACTAATTGCAATAATAAGAACTTTAAGATTATGAACACACAGACACACACACACACATCTATACACATCTATACATTTGCATAATTTCCACTTCCTGCGAACGAATACTCATTGAATATAATTGAAGTGGTGTTGAAGAGATGAGGAGCAACATTGTTTTTTTTTTGCACATTTTTCATAGAACAAAGCAATACAAAACAATAATTGCTAAGTTGAAGCAATACAAACAACAAACAATAACAATGGCAACAGCAACAGCAAGAGTAGAACACTTGCCGGGCAAATCGTTTATTTGTTTGCTATTAAAAGTCCATCAAGTTGGGCGTGAAAAGATGACATGCTGGGCGACCGACCGCATTGCTAAATGCTTGGCACAATGATGTTTCATTCGAAATGTATATTTTTGTTTTATAAAACGAAGGCAACAGCAAGAGTATGAACAATATGCTCGTAAGAGGGCCACAGTGTGCTAAGCAGCAGATAAATCTGTTGAATGGCGAAATGTTTAAATTTAGCAATGGGATGTGCAACAACAATAACAAAACACAATTCGAGGAAGTTGTAGCAAAAGGCAGCGAGGCTTTTTGTTTGCATTTGGACAGCTCCAACAAACATTTTGTGTGTGTGTATGGGGCTGTATTGTTTTGCATACTTTTTCGTTTACATTTGAAAGCACTCGCAAAACGGATGTTGCGGTCGACCTCAACCTTACACACAAACACACACAACCATGTAATGGAAGCCTACAAAAATAGGCAACTGAAAGAGAACTTGTACAAAAAAATACAAACACTGCTAGAAAAATGTCAATCTAAGGTTTAGCGAAAGCCACTTCCATGCCCGTTCAATAATTTCCAGAAAAGCCTGAGCTATTCCAACACAATTTTCTTTGGCAGAGATATAGTTTTAAATAGTAAATCTTCGGTTGTGTGATGATAGTTTAGAAGATAATAACAAAGAAGGTGTCCTACGCTATACTCCTCTGCATTATCTTCCTCACATCTCTGCTTATTGTGCAGTTTTATAACGTAGTGGTTCCTTTGATATCTAGAGTCGGCCTGGCCAGCCTTTGCAAGCGCTGCTGGGGGTAAGAATCCTGAAGAAGGCATACCGATTCTTTTGATGTCAGGAAGGATGTGCTCTGTAGTTCCCTTGCTTGCCATCTCTTATTTTGTGGATTCTTTGTCTGTACAATGGCCTCTCATTGAAAACGTGGCTCAAATTCAAAAAACTTGTGGTCCAGTTTATAAAAATAGTTGGGAGCAGAAAAGTTATTTTAAATTTTACCCCAAAGTATCCAACTTGTTCAATTTAGTTTGAATTCAAATATATGTCTAAGAACTATATTTATTTAATTCAT